ACTTAAGCTGTTTGGATGTTCATTGAAACTTCTGGCGAATGTGCAATTCACTTCGACTAGGAAGCGAAGTGTGTAACTGATACCGGCTAGCTATTTCACCGATTTGAAGAAGAAGGAGCACAAATGTTTAAAAAAGTCTACAGTCTTTATTCTGCATTTTATCCCAGCCTGCGTTTTACTCTTAGTCTGCAGTCTGCATTTTACACTCAGTCTGCATTTTACCCCTGGTCCGCAGTCTGCAGTCTGCAGTCAGCAGTCTGCGTTTTACACTGACCGCTTGGAAAAGAAGATACATAGTCTTTGCTTTCCAGTCCAGCTCTTTTATATGAAATTTATCAGCTGTATTAATCAACAAATTGAAGCAAGTTTCGTTTCCACTTTGTGGTGAAACTGTTGTCGGATTCATTGTTCGCTTCTTAAATTCATTTTATTATTCCATTTCATGTTAGCAATAACGTAATGTTGATTTAAGTGTATGATAGCTGCTATTAACTCAAAAACTTTGTTTTTTATTTTAAACGACAACTGCAAATTTCTGCTTCATAGGATTTGCTGGGGTCTTTGCTGCATGCAAGCGGAACAGATCAATGCGTGACCTTTGGTAAGAAAATCTTTTGTATTTTTTGCTGGTCTTATGTCGTAATTGTAACATCAAACTCCAACTGATAAAAATAGACACAAACAAGTTGTGTATGCCGCATATTTGTCCACAAGAGTGATGCTTTTTTCGATTTTGAACATCATAGGCAGGCAGCTCGGGGTGTTACGAAAACTAAGACCCTCGAAAACTAAGATGTAAGACCTAAGACCCATCTTAGTTTTCGAGATAACGAAAACTAAGACCCCCTAAAATCGAATCCGTCAAAATATATAGTCAAATTGTAACCGAAATAGGTCTGATCTGTCAAATTATATCATGTTCGATCCTTTCCACCGAGTTTTAGGTCAAATTTAACGGTAAATTTAGGGGTCTTAGTTTTTGTAATTTCAAAAACTAAGACCCCCCACCAAAACAATCTCTAAAATTTCTGCAAAGTCGAATTACGACCGTATGAAGACTATAATCCATTAGACAAACAAAAACTACTATCATACGCGTGCTAGATGAGCCGCTTCTTCTAACAATTTGCAGACATACACTATCAATATTGTGGCTTTAAGAAGAGGATGAAAGCTATAGACTTATAATAACCTACGTATAATTGTACACTGAAAATATGCCTTACCCCTATAATTTTGGTTGTTTATCCTTAAAGTCATAAAATTGGTTTTCCACTGGAGATGGATTTTTGTCTTCGTTGCGGGCTGACATGTCGCTGCGACCTGAATGCCTGGGCTGAGTTGCTCAAAGCATGGTTAGCTTTAACCATTGGTTAAGCAGTATCAAAACCAATACGTTGTCAAGGTATTAAACGCTGGTTAACGCTAACCATGCTTCGAGCAACTGAGCCCTGATCGCTAAGTGGTCAACAGCGTTATCGGTTAAACATCCCACAAAAATGCAGATTTTTTTTTTCTTTTCTGGCCAGGTCATAGATAGAAAAGTGCTTTTATGAAAAGGGCGAAAAAATGGAGAATATGCTACATTGCTTTTTTCTAGCGTTTATTTTTATCGTTGCCACCCCGGAGATCACAGGGTTACAATGCAAAGGTAGTTGAGGGGTAGGGGTGGGGGCAAGGAGAATAGTCTGTGAGGGATAATCACAAAAATCACTTATGAAATAATTTTAAAAAAAAAACGAATGAGTGAATGAAGTTCCTGTACTAGCAAAGCATTGTCTCGAGAACTGGAGTTCTAATTGCAGAACAATAAAATAAACAAACAATCAATACAAAGTGAAGATTGCGTGAAAGTAGGTTGCCAGAGGTCAGGATTCCCGAGTAATAATACCTACCGTAGAAATTATGACCCGAGTACCCCTTCGAACCCGCCCCCTACCTGCGGTATTGCCGGTTTTTAACGGGCAAATAAAAAATAACAGACCAGCAATTCCCTCCCCTGCTCCCCTTGCCGTGCTCCCCACGTGTCCACAACAACTGCTGAACACAAACCCCCTTAGGTGATAGTTACAGGTAACGCAATCTCGATCGCAGAGACACGAAAAAAAAACATCCATCTCCAGTGGAAAGCCAATTTCATGATTTAAAGGATAAACAACAAAATTAAAGACCAACAGGGGTAAGGCATATTTTCAGTGTACAATAGATACGTAGTAGGAAGTCTATGGCTTTGGTCCTCTTTTTAAAGCTAGTCTTCAAATTGTTAGCGGATCGTACATCAGCACGCGTATGATAGTAGTTTTTGTTTGTCTTACGGATTATAGTCTTCAAACGGTTGTAATTCGACTTTGTAGAAATTTTAGAGATTGTTTTGGTGGGGGTCTTAGTTATCGTAATGACGAAAACTAAGAGGGGTCTTAGTTTTCGAAATTACGAAAACTAAGACCCCTAAATTTACCGTTAAATTTGACCTTAAACACGGTGGAAAGGATCGAACATGATATAATTTGACAGATCAGACCTATTTCGGTTACAATTTGACTTTATATTTCGATGGATTCGATTTTAGGAAAGTTATTAACCCATTCGCTCCTGGAGATTTTGCCAAAAAACGCGTTTTGAAGCTAGTCGAGTGGTTTTCTGGTCACTGTCGTGCTATAAAGAGCTAAAACTTACCACAAACTGGTTCACAGGTCGAACACTTCGCGGCCTTCTGATCCAGATGCAAAATATCAGCTTGCGATGTTCGGGCATGCGCAGAAAGCAAAATTTCGAGATCGTTTTTGGGTTTAAAAGTGACACAGCAGTCTTGACTTTTACTTTTCGCTTTCTCTCCTCCCTTCTTTTTTCGCTTTTCTTGCCTCATTTTTTTTTTCTCTTGCTGGGCATTTAGTAGGGTTCATTTTGGTGGGAAGAGTTTTTAGGAAAGCTTTTAGGATCTTAGGAGTAGGTGAAAGGAAAGGTAGGTGGGTAATGGAACAAGATTTTCATGGTGATTTTCAGGTCAATGTCACGTGGTTTTTTGCTTCTTTCTCCGGTGACCTTGACTGAATTGTGCTCATTCTGGTATGGTTTGAAAGATCTCTTCACTTTGCACAAGTTAGCCAAGAAAGTTGTCCTTGACCGTTAAAACTGATGACGTCACAATGGGTAGAAAGGACCTGGATCCGCACGGGCGGTTACGGGCGGTTCAGGGGCGAATGGGTTAATAAAAATATGTTTGAATGGAAGTAGAGAGTTTGCGTAACATTGGAAAAATATTGCTCGACTCTACGTTAACAAAGGCCTCTGCCCACTCCACCCCAAGGAAATGTCTGATCTTGCAAAAGCTGGTCCCAAACTTAACACTTTGAAGTCAATTTTGCTGAGATTACTTATTTAGAATTGCCTCAAACCCCTTTGACCACGAGTATTTACAGCATTTTGTAAATGTATAGTAAAAGATGCCCAGGGAGGGACTCTGCATATGAAAGGGGTGGGGATGCTTGTCTGAAATTTTGGATTAAAGCCCTAAATGAGACCGATCTGGGCGTGGCCCAAGCTTTTTTTGACTCCTAAAAGAGACCACGTTAAAACACAGACAATATGTATATTTTTATATTTTTTTGCGTGCAACCCTAAACGAGACCTTCACAGCCAAATATGATGGCGTTTTGCCCAGAACACCCTAAGTGAGACCAAAATCCGAAATTTACACCCCTGAGCGAAGCGACGAGCATCCCCACCCCTTTCATATGCGGAGTCCACCCGCCCCAGGAAAAGATGTTAACTTGACACTTTATTCATTTTGAAAACAAAAAAGCTTGAGAAATAGCTCTTGACCTTGGAGGAGAAATGTGAGGTGCAAATCAACAGAAAAGGAGTTCTGCGGTAAAGGTAATGAGCAAATCTTTTTCTTTTAATGTTTTTGCTTGTGGCTTTATAAAGAAGCAGTTTCCAGTCCCATTAAAAAAAATTTAAAAAGTAATATTTTGTCTTCTTCTTTCTTGCTCTGCTTAACTTAGGCTTTATTTTATGTTCATTTTGATGGTGATGCTATTTAATGACACTAATTCTCCTTACAAATTCACACAATTTTCAAGTTTGTATTGATATTGGACTTAAAGGATTAAGATATTTCTTCTTTGTTCTGTTTATTGTATTGCCAAAGATGATGGTCTCTGATGAAGAGAAGAGATGGATTGTTGTGGGAATTGCCATGAACAAAGTTGCTGCTCCTGTTTTGCGGGATGCTGTCAAACAAGGGATGGACACCAACTATGCAAATCTGGAAAGACACTATCAACTTCTCCACCCGCCTTGTACTCTAAAGACATTAACTCATGGTGTGGTCCAAGCAGATCCCATCTTTGAAAGACTGAAATTTCAAAATATCAATAACAATGATCATCTGTATGGCAAATGCTACAGAAGCTACAACTTTAGCATTAATGACTCTGTAGATTTGGCCAAGTTATATCTACCAGATTATCTGGCTCAGTTTTCAGCCTTTGATGACTCACTGGACATGACTGCCATCCTTCGTCTGTTGGAATTTAGGAACTACATGCAATTGCCTGCTGCTGTGTTCTCCCCTCACATCCAGGCCTCAGCTGATGATGTCAGGGAAAATGTCAGAAACAAATGGGGCCATGTTGATGTAACTGAGTGGACACAGGCTCTGTTTAATGATTGCTTTGACAAGCTGAAGACATTGGTAAGGAGTCTCGGACTGACAGTAGATGTGGAGAAGAACACAATGGATCAACTGGATTACTGGCAAACAAAAGGTTATTACACCTAGACAGCAGAATATTTTATAATACTATAAATCATAAATAATCATAAATCTTACCATGTTCAAAGGGAACACTAGACTCTAAACAATTTTTGTTCCAGCAAATATATCCAACTGTCATAACAGTGAATCAATAGGATGCTTTAGATGGGCGCAATTCCACAATTTTAATTTTGGTTCCATTTTTAAATGCTCCAGGTATCGATATTTATTACATACACACTGTATGAATTGCTCACACTGTGAGCACAAGACATATTACTGAGAAAAATAATAGACTGCAATACAAGTGTATTCCTCCAGGAAACAAACTTAGTGAACACATCAGCTAAAGGCTGGTTTTCACTAGCGACGAAGTCGGAGTCGGAGTCTTAAGCGGAGTCGTAAGAGCACTTATGACCTAGTGAAAATCAAACATCGGAGTCGTAAGCGGAGTCATAAGCGCGACGGAATCGGAGTCAGAAGAATCAGAACGTTTCCATTTTCTTCCGACTCCGCTTACGACTCCGTCGCTTACGTTCCGCTTATGATCTAGTGTAGCCTGTTCCAGGCGTTCAGATAATGGGGAGCCGTGCGAAGTAAAAGGGAGCGCAAAAAAATAAAAGCGAGGGAGGAGGACCCCAGTCCCCCTCTACTTTTCATCGCTTTCTTTACTCCGCACCGCTCTCCACTATCTGAACGCTTGGAACAGGCTAGATCTAGTGAAAACCAGATTGTCGGAGTCGGAAGCAGAAGCGGAAGGATAAGCCAATCAGAAAGCACGTTCCCACGCTTTGTGATTGGTTTGGTTCTTCTGCTTCTGCTTCCGACTCCGACAATCTGGTTTTCACTAGGTCATAAGCGGAACGTAAGCGACGGAGTCGTAGGCGGAATCGGAACGCTGTTTTCACTAGATCATAAGCTCTACCCTTCTGATTACGACTTCGACTCCGACTCCGTCGCTAGTGAAAACCAGCCTTAAGCAAGCGCAACCTCGTTCCCAGGGTTCTCTCCTACCTGTCCCTACGGAGATGGAACCTGGGAACAAGGTTGAGGCAAGCGAAGGTCCTGCACGTTAAATTGCATTAACTAACACACAACATATAGCACATATAATGTACAGGCCTAATGACAGCAGTAGGCATAGTCTGTATCAGGCTCTAACTTAGTCAGGACAAGTGAAAAGTAAAGGAAGCGTGAGAAAAACAAGCTGTTTTTTCTTTGTTTATACTGATTTTTGCCTCCGCTTGTACCCACTCAGTTACCGACTAACTGAGAGCCTGAAAAATGGTGATTTAGACATAAAGACGTGAAAATAATTTGCAAACAAGTTCCAGCAATTTCTTTTCTAATAGTCAATAACAGCACACCACAGAGGTTAAATTAAAATGTTATGTAATTCACAACATTGCTGTAGCTATACTTGCAGAACAGATGAGAAAAGTGTTGCAAATATTAAAAGCATCAAGCATGTACAGCTGGTTGGGGCTGGTGCATAATAGGCAAGGGAAAAGTGTAAACCCAGAACTTGCTTCTTCTTGCCTATTAGCTAGCTAAAACCATGCAAGAACTGCCACTGATAAAAATATGCATTCCTTACAGCTAGTCCTGTTGGGGTTTAATGAACAGTGACCTGAACATGCACACTCATGTGCCGAACCTAACTGAGTTTGGTTCGACTTTGGAGCGACATTGGCGCGACATCTGATTCAGACGGCGCGCAGTGTGTCGAACCTAATCTTTATTTCATGTAGGGAGACTCCGAGGGACTTATGGGAAGATTTATAAATTATCATAACGTATGCATTTGATTCGGCACATGAGAAGAACTCCGTATGAATCACCTGCCCCTCCAATGTCGAATAATGCGACAGACCCTGTCGAACTTAACGTTTTTGCCACACCAAATTAAAACTGCCGTACCAAACTGATTCAGACGCCGCTCTTTTGCCGTACTTAATACCTCAGTTAGGTTCGGCACATGAGTGGAGCGGCGTCTGAACCGGGCCTAAGTGACTGAGAGTCATGTTATGGATTTCTGGTTAATTTTTTAGTTGTTACTCAAAGCAAAACCTTCATAATTTCTGTTTTATTTCAAGGCTGTCAATTAATCATGGGTCATGCTGTGGACAGGGATCTTCTCTGTTTGGTACAAGATAAAGTAAAAGATCTCATCAAGGACTACAGCACCATTCATTCACAACTGAATCTACAGAACAAGCACATTGCTCAGCTTAAAGTAAAAGTTGCCACCCTTAAAGATCAGGATGAACGTAAAGAAACGAGGTTAGTTGAACATCATAAACGCCTTGAAGCGCTGGAAGAGAAGCCACAGGAGGAATCAGAGATCAGAAGTGAAGAGATTGCAAAGGTTTTAGAAAGACTCGTGTCTCTCGAAGCACAGTTATCGATACGACTTCAAGTGGTGGAAGAAAAAGTAGAGCAACTAGAGCAAACTCAAACGAAGACAGATGATAGAGTAGGACAACTGGAACAAAGTCAAACCAACACAGTTTGTCAAGTGGAACTACTGAAGCACAGTCACACCAAGACAGCTGATAAAGTAGAACTGCTGAAGCACAGTCACACCAAGACAGCTGATGAAGTAGAACTGCTGAAGCACAGTCACACCAAGACAGCTGATGAAGTAGATTTGCTGAGTGATAAAGTACAACTGCTGAAGCACAGTCACAACAAGACAGCTGATGAAGTACAACTGCTGAAGCAAAGCCAGACTGAGACGGCTGCAAAAGCAAATCAGCTCGATCAAAGATGTGCTGAGGTAGAGAGAATTGGACTACAATTGAAAACACAGAAGGACAAACCAGGTAAGCTATATTTGCGATAAACTAAAGAGATTAATGTGCCCCATTCACTCATATATTGCAGTGAACAAGCATGGTATTATTTCACATATGAATCATTTACAGACCTTCTTCACGTGCACGACGTTAACGTTCCCGTCGCAGGTGCGGTCACGTACATGCACTATAAAACGAAGACTGGCCTGTGTGTTTCACTGCGATCCATCGTCAAACGTCTGAGGTGTTTTTGTTTCATGTAGAGGGATTTCGTTCAGTGATCCCTTAAGTGAAAAAGTTTCAAGCCCGAGTAAAACGTTGATGGCAAATAGCGCCGACAATAACAGAAGTTTCGGTTTTCAATCACTTAAAGAGTGGTCCTTATTTAGAGCTCAGCAGGGGAGGAAGTGGATGCTATTAGGGAGTCGTGAGGATTTTAGAGTAGTGAGTACGGATTATGAAATATCCACAGGGCAAAGAGTAGGAGTTACTAAAAATCAGTGAACACGTTATGTATTCTAAGGAACATGACTCTATGGCTCAGACAATTTAAAGCATGCCCATTCTTCTCGGGCATTTGTTATGTGCTGTGTTCCCACCGTGGGGCATCTGTTATCAGAGTTTTGAACGAGGGTGGGGAATTTTTCATTTGTGAATTTATTATTTTCGTCCACTTTTATAAATAAAAATCCATGATATTTATAACAAAAGCATAAGTTGAAGCTTAGAGATACATATGTAGAGAAGAACACTCCATTGTGAAAAAAAAATGTGTTAAGAAGCTCTGCAAAAACAAAACTGAAGAAAAATTAGCTTTATTAGGAAAGATTGCTGCCTTAAAATTTATTTAAGTTTTATAAAGCAAAGTACATTTACTGGTCGTGGTAAAGTTTCCACCGTCAAGACGTTCTTTTCAAGTTACTGTAGATATCTTTTATCAAGCATTTTGTTGTTATTTTTCGCTTTCGCAAGTACAGTTTATTTAAAATAATTTTTAGCTTCTTATGAAGGACGCATACCTTTTGTCTTGTCCCCGGGGTAAGGCATTTGCACTCCTTTGCCCCACCCTGGAGTTTTTGTATGAATCTGCTGGCCCCGCTGTTGGACAATTACAGCTTTCCTAAGAAACAATGACAAATGTTCGGAGGGAATTGGAATTGACTGAGCCGCTGCTTGCGTAAGCAGCGAGACTCATAATCTGCAACGCCTAGTCCGTTATATACGCTTTATAGGTATGTGCTGCGCCAAAGGGTATGTTTTTTTTAGCCGTTTTGGTCTGAAATAGGGTATCAATTTCGACCATTTTGGTCTGAAATAGGGTATGGTTTGTGCACTCTAGTCTTGAATTGGGTATGTTTTTAGAAGAATTAGCTACTTCTTCATCATTTGGCGATAAGACCATTTCCCTTTTATGTTTACGCCAACTACCGTGTTCGTGCCGTAACAGCTTGTCGCGCGCTCCGGTCACGCGCCGGGCTCCAGGGCTTCAGGTCTGAAATAGGGTATCAAATTTTTGATCAGGTCTGAAATAAGGTAGGGAAAATCGACACGCGCGAAAAACGCAGTGCGCATGCGTTCAAAATTATACGCGATACCAAAACAAACTAGATTCCGGCCGCGAAATTCAAAAAAGTAAGCTCCACACACAAAAGATAAGCTTAGAATTTCACGAACACAAAGTTATTAATTGCTTTAGTTTCTCTCTTTTGTACCACATACTTTCCTCCTTGCACCAAAGGCGAAAATCATGTTTGAAAGTTCACGCTCGCTCTGGCAGCACTTCGCCGTAGCCATTGTTGCTGTTTTGGTCATCATGTCGCTGAGCTCGGTCAATGCGAACAACAAAAACAACCAATGCATGCTAAGTGGAAAAACAAGGACGGAAAAACCTTGTACTGGACGACTTTACCAGTTAGTTAGTTAAGTTAGTTTAAGTAATTTTTTGTTGTGCTTAATACTAGAACCGGCTGCAAACCATTAAACATATCAAACATTCCTAAATGTTTTTCAATTTAAATGAGGAAGATTTTGCAAATTTTAATTATTGAAAATAGAGACCTTGCGCATGCGCAGACGTTTTGCACACGTGCCGGGAAAATCAAAGATTTTGGTCTGAAATAGGGTAAGGGTTTCAGGAAGCGTGTCGCACATCCCCTCCCAATTTTTCTGTAAGTACCCCCCGGAATTTTTGGGCTTAATTTAGGAGACAAAAGGCAGGTCATTGTGACAGGCGTTCCTTGCGTAGACCGTGGAAACTGGGACTAAGAATCGTTGCGTGATCGAAGCCACGCATTTAGAGCTTTTCCGAAACGTGTCGGTCCACAAATTCTGTCGCTTGAAAGCGTTGATTACTTTGGAGCAAATGAACACTACTGAGGGGTCGAAAAAAAATAAGAATCTTAATTAGCAAAATTGCGGCGGTCGGGTGTTGTAAACTTTTACTGTATGTAAATGAGTCTTGTGATGAGCATGCGATTTATTTTCGGCGATGATTGAAATGAGGTGCCATGTAAATCACTTTTTCGATATCTGGCAATGATGTAATTTCTTTGGAATCGAGGCCCTTGAATTTTCGTGTAATTGTACTCGCGTATAGCCTGCTACCGGAGAGGTGTTTTTGGTCGTCGCTAACACGCGTACTAAATCAATTCAGAAACAAATAAAAAGGATCGACGTCGATAGAGTAGGAAGTAAAAAACCTTTAGCGAGTAAATCATGTTTCTTGTTGAATTAATCGCCTCCTCATTTCTCGATCTAGTCTCCAAGCAGGCGAGACTTGGTGCCGCTGTAAGCGCGTTCTTGTTGTTCTAGTTTTGCACTAAGAATCGGCTTCTCCATGTGGTGGCCAATCATGAGACCCAAGAATAACCTAGTCAAATAGTTCTGGTTGATTATCATCCCCTTCCCTTACACGTCTGAAAAGTATTTAAATCTTTATTAGATCAGAATCTGTCATCTCCAGATGTTGTAAATCCTAACTTGCTTTTGAATGTCACAACTAGAGTCTCCCAGGTGTAAGGAATCTTGAGCGATCTCGACATAAGTAAATCAAGTGGCAGCAAGTGTGAATTCTTTTAAAGTGCTAGCTAAAACGTTTTTATGGATTAGCGAATTCTTCAGTGTTCTTAATTTTATGTCATTATTTACTTATCATTATTTTCAATATTAGTTAATTACTTGTGGTGATCTGCTTTAATATGAGGTTTTCGACTCTTTTGCATTTCATCCCTTGGCTTCATGTATAAGTTTAAGTTAAGTTATTTTACATTGAATGCCATGAATTGAATTGTAATAAATAAATAAATTTGTACTTTGTCCTGACCTTCAGGTTGTTTACTAAGTTTAACAGAGGCTCTTTGTTTTAAGTTAATGTGCTTATTTTATAATTATACACTAATTCAGGCACTAATGGAAGTGTTTGTTTAATAGTGGAGTTATGAAACTCTTCGACAATTTTAATGAGGGGTTATAGACCTATGCTGTCAGGGGTTAAAATCGCCCTTCCCCTCTCGGCGTCTATAAAGAAAACTTTACAAAATCAGGGGCGGATTCTCAAATTCTTTATAAATTTTTAAAGTGAGAAAGTGACATCCTTGGCTTTGGAGCACTTTGCTTAGCTTTCGCAAATTTCTTTCGTTTGAAGGCGGTGAACCTGTGCACAGTCAGGGTGTGATTAAAGTCTAATAGACGAGTTGAAACATTTTGTGTAAAATCCGAATCGTTGCGACTATTTTAAACAGGATGCGGTTAGTTGAACGGCTTCAAGTTCTAGATATGTTCATTTTTCACATAATTTGTGAGTTTTCATCATTCAGAGGGAATTAAGTACTAAGTCGTTTCCGTCAGATTTAAAGACAAGTTCCTCGTTTTTTATGTGAATAATTATCTTGTTTTTAAATTCCTTTTAACGTGTGTTATTGTAGTTCGGTTGTCTAGTTTTGATTTCTTTCTCAGTCTAACCAGTGTTGTCGGGCAAGCTACTGACTATTGACTGAATTTCTTTTACTTCCAGAAGCTTCATCTGTGCAACCTTTTGACTTAAATTCCTGTCGAAGCAAACTAGAAGCTCATTACCAAAAAACAGCAACTGTGCCCACATCTGTTTGGTGTAAAAAAGCCGTTGTCGACATTCACCAGATCTACACTCGATTGTCCTGGGTGAAAGAGGAACAAACCCCAGCTGGAACAACACAATCGGAGCTGGAGCATTACACTGAACTTTTCACTGCAAACAAGAACGGCTTTATTCCAAAGAGAATACTCGTGCAAGGGCAGACGGGAATTGGAAAGAGCACGTTTGTGAAGAAGCTGCTTGTGGACTGGATTGAAGTGAATAAGGAGACTGGTGATGAGCAAACAGCTGTCCTGAAGAATTTTGAGCTTGTGGTTGCTGTAAATCTCAAAGAAGTGTCCAAATGTCAAAGCCTTAAAGATGTCATAAGACTCTCTAATATTTTTGCAAAGGAGGACAAATACACGACGGACGGCCTTGTTGATTATATCACTTACAACCAAGAGAAAGTTCTTCTGATCTTTGACGGCTACGACGAATACCGATGTGGACGCGAATCAGAGATATACGAGATTTTTGGTCGAAATGGCTTGCGAAATTGCTGTATATTGATAACAACTCGTATCTCAAAAGCTGACGAGCTGCGAGGAGGTGAAGACCTGCAAGCTGAAATCACAGGGTTTAGTAAAGTAGATCAACTAGGCTTTATGAGAAGATTTCTCGGTGGCGAGGAAGTGTTGAGTTTGCTCTCTCACTTGCATAGAAGAGATTTAAGCGAACTGGCGAAAGTTCCCTTACTTCTCTTGTTTTTCTGTACTCTGTGGAAAAGGGGACAGTCAAAAAACTTTCCAAAAACTAAAACTAAATTGTATATGGACATCATCGAGTTTGTTTTAAATCACAGCCATAGCAAGCAACCATCACCTGGTTATGTCGAAGTGGCATCTTGCAAAGAACTCCTCTCAGAAATAGGTAAGGTTGCCTTACAAGGTCTTAAGAACGACGATCATTTGTTTGAATACAGTCAGTTGTCTGATTCCGTCCGTTGTGACGAAAGCGTCTTCACCGGTTTGCTACAAATCACCGAATATTCAGAAACCTTACGACCAGTAGGAATGGTGTCCTTTATTCACAAGAGCATCCAAGAGTTTCTGGCCGCTTGGTACATCACCTACAGATGTTTAGAAGAGGGGAACCTTTTTGAAATTGATATGAAGTTAGAAGAATGCTTGGCTTTACGGAATGTTTTCGAGTTCATCTGTGGCCTGAGTGAAGAGGGAGCATTTGCGACTTTCAGGCATTTGAAGTCTGTGAGAATCTCAGATTCTTCGCTGGATTTGTCTCAGACAGTCCCGGACTTAGAAAGCGAAACAGACATGCCACTGAATGACGTCACTGATCGTCAGTGGCAGTTCAGTGATTTGGTTTTAGATTTATTTGAAAGGGTCGAATCAAAAGCTGATCTTTTAAGACCTTGTTTGGATTGCCTTGGAAGTGTCCTTCTGTTAAGGGCAAAGGAAGCTAGCTCCCTGTCTTTGGTTTCTGGACAACCCATGGATTATTTTGTATCTGCCGCACACTCAGTCTTGACACTGTATGAGGTGGTTAGAATGCTGGTTACTGAAGGTTATGAAATTTTCAATGTTGCAGAATTTTTAGAAGAATTCCTCCTCAAGTTCAGTAGTATGTCTTCTTGTCGGTGCGGTTTTTCCTCAGTACTTTGTTTCTTTAATGGCCAAGTCTTCTTTAACATCACACACCTGGAACTGTTGTGTGAGGACCACGCCAGGTTATTCACTGACTATGTTGTTCCTTCTCATTCATTACATTTAAGTTCAGGACAGTTAAGTCTGAAATTTTTGAAAGTTCTTAAGTGTTCCGGGATTAGACTTTCAATGGAAAGTCTTGGTGCTGTTGTCAAACATTGTAATCATTTGAAACTCATTGAAGTTTCAGTCAGTGATGACTCCTTAATCCATTTCTTGCAACATTTACCAAATTATTGCAGATGCTCCTTATCGATCCAGTTTTGTTGCTTATCATCAAAGGGAGCAGTAGAGCTTTCATGTTTGTTACCAAGGTTTGAAAACATCATTCATCTTGACCTTCGCTTGGCTGAGTGCTCTGATGAAGCAGTAACTAACTTGGTTGCCGCTATCAAACACAAGACTCTTGAGAACCTGGCACTTAGTGAAACCAACATAACGTCAGCAGTAGCTGAGGCGCTCAGTCAGTCGCTACCTGAACTATCAGCTTTACGAACACTGAAGATAAGTAGCTTGACTGAATTCTCTGATGTAGCAGTAACAAAATTGGTTGCTGCTATCAAGCACAAGACTCTCGAGAAACTGCAACTGAGTAAAATGAACCTGCCGTTAGCAGCAGCCGAAGTGCTCTGTGAGTTACTTCCTAAATTATCAGCTTTACAAACACTAGAGATAAGTGTGTTGACAGAATGCTCTGCTGAAGCAGTAACAAGTTTGGCAGCCGCTTTCAAGCCCAAGACTCTCAAGGAACTTAAAATTAGTGGAATCAAACTGACGTTAGAAGCAGCCGAAGCGCTCCGTCAGCCACTTCTTGAAGTATCAAATTTAATACTTGAGTTAAGTGGCTTTGCTGAATGCTCTGCTAAAGAAGCAAGTAGATTGCTCAAAGTAGCGATACCGAGTAAAAAATTCCTATCAGCAGTAGTCCCCCATGTAGGGTACTCCGATTTCAAAGTCAGGGTGGTCTCGAGTAAAGAGTCCGAGTAAAGGGCCTCCTGAAGAGTGCAAAAAAGTCCACTTCGGTTGTCGTGCGTCGCTCAAAAACGTTGTTGCTTACGCTCTCTAACTGTTTCATTTCATGACTCTCTACCTCCCCGTTCAAAAGACATAAAGATAACTCCTTTCAAAAGTGTCCTAGTACCAATTCCATTTCTCAGTCAAAAGAAAAGGAGGGGCAAGAAGCATTTGGTACGAAGAACTTTTTTTAAGTAGCCTGAATTTCAGACGATTGCTTCGAGTCGTTTTCACTCCCTCAGTTGCCGAGGGAATAAGAACGACTTGAAATACTCGTCTAAAGTTCAGGCTATCCTTTAAGGGGATCAATTTTTTTAAAATTTTTTCGATATATCATCTTTGAGTGGTTAAATTTATGAAGCTTGAGCCACACTCGCAGATTGGTCTTCTTTAGAACCTCAGTTTAGGGGCTTTTAAACTAGACTGCAAAACAGTCGGGGTTTTTCTTAAAATTGGTTTACAGGACAAAAGAGCAGAGTAAGAGCCTCACGCGCGCGAAGCGCGCGAGCCTCACACGCCCTACGGGTGTGTGGGGCGGGAGAAAAAAACCTAGCGTCTCTCTCCAGCCTTTCCTTACTTCGATGCGTGTACATACTCTGTACCTGTTGAACACCTGTTTGATGCAAGAGAGTGCGGAGCATTATTTATTCCCGACTCTCTGTAAGACATACCATTTAGTCTCGCTTAGATAAAACTTAGGAAGGAGGGTATTTCGGGATGAAGGTTATACCTTTCGAGTGCCCTCTAACGTGATAAAAAATATCATGGGCTATCTGAGTGGTTGGAGAGCCTTGTGGCGTTATACGAGGGAGTCCTGTATAGCATATACCTTTTTATTTAAACATATTTTATTGACAAAGTTTGCCCTAAGAGTAATAAAAGACTCATCGAGAGGGCTCACTTCGAAATATCATTAAATCCAAAAGAAAAAAAAATACAATAAATAGTAATTAGTCAAACTGGGAGCAGCAGCGAAAAGAAGAAGATATTTAAGGAATGCTAACAGGTGGAACATACATATCTGGGTACTTTTGAAAAACCTCTTCCATTCAGATATAAAACACTGGTTATGAAAAAAAAATCGTTAGTTTTCTCCGGAGACGGTAACCGTGATCCAAACAGAAAAACAGGTGTAATTTATGCTTTAAGGTGATGTTACACGGGACCATTCGCGGCGAAGATTTTCAGCCCAACACTGGGTTGCAATGTTGGAACCATGTTGTAACTATTCAAAACAATGTTGCCTCGCTGTGTTGCGCTAATATTGTCGTTGGAAATCGTCTCGTGTAACATTCACCTTTAGACATAGAAGCAAACACCCGTCAGCAAATGTGCCAGCGGCAGCTGAGGAAAGCAGGTTAGCTCTAAGTGCGTATAATCCATATTAAGGAAAAGCACGAGAAAATTTTATGGAAATTCACAGGGGCGTAGCTAGGGGGGTCCTGGGGTGCCTGTGACTCCCCTCTGGTAGGCCATCTTTTGAGCAAACAACCTACAATATTCAGGTGGCGAAAACGCCATGACGATATCTTGGCCGTAAAAGCCATTGTTGAAAAGCCCACTTTTTTAAAATTTGTTTTTTTGTAAAGTATTTTCGTCAACGGCTCTTGTCTTTAGTTAATAGAGGCCTTCATGCCGCGATAATACGACTGAGCCCGCTGATACACGAGGGAGAGCAGCGGTATAAACCATATATAGACGGCGATCCTCGGAGGTGAGTAGCCTCTGTCATCCCCCCTTTGAAAAATCCTGGCTACGCCCGTGATTCAGTAATGGATAAAATTATGACAATATTGGTCCGTGGTTTTATTCATAAATAACTTGTTGCAGACGTTGAGGTAGTGGGGACAGCGCGCGGGAACGGAACGGGAAATGAGATCCAGTGACGGATGTAGGGGACGGGGACAGGGCCCCTACCTTGATTTAGGGCCAAACTGTAGCCTGTTCCAGGATCCGTTCTGAACGCCTGGAACAGACTAGGCCACGACCGAGTTAAATATTATTTAACCTCCCTTTACTTGAAGATTTTAATTTGTCGCAGCGGTCTCTCCCTCGATTCCCTTTTTTCTATCCGCCCCCCGCTCCCCGCCAACCCGCTCCCCGCCAACCCGCTCCTCCCCCCCCATATCTGAACGTCACGAACAGGCAAATTAGAGTCAAAAGCCCTGAAACGTGATAGTTTTTTTCGCGTGATCTCACAACAGCCCTTCCCACTACACCTTAGAGAAAGTCTACCTTTTCTGGAAGGTTCTGCAACCTCGTCCCCAGGGCTTTTCCCTCAAAAAAAATTGGAAGGTTCCATGAGCAGTTTCTTTCGATTTCAACTTCCGGCTTCTCCTGAGACGTTGTTGCATCCCTTGCTTTTAAAGATTTTGTGAGATCGCTTGAGTCCAAAGTAAGTCAGCTAGCTGAACTCCCTGGGCAGTCAGCGTCAATTAGTGATAAATAGAGGTGTCAATCCAAAACTTTTCTTCTAATTTTGAAAATTCAAGATTACTTTGCACCGTGGACGTGGATGTGAGAAAGAAGATCAACGCGTCATCAGGAACTGACCTCTAGTATAGAAGGAAAAAGGTAAGCAAATCCTTGTATTTTTGCCCTTTTCTCCCATATATACTTCTTCGTACCAGCGATACCAAAAAAGGATATTTTTACTTCACAGGCGATGCAATTTTGTCAGGTTATTTTAAAAATTTCATCAGTCTGACTGTGAGCCGAGCCGCCCGTCGAATCGCCATATCAGAGAAAAGAAGACGATATTAACCTGATATTAAAGTTGCGGCTCTTCAGCATTTTAAACAGACGAGAGACTAATTTATGTTTGTCGAGAAAAAAATATCAGCTGGTTAAATTTCCTGTATGTTAGTAGCATGTGCAATTTTTTAAACTCAAGTTTCATTCTTCGACTTGAAGAATCTGATGAGTAAGCATATTTGTTGTGGGGGACACAATCTTTAGAGGTAAAAGATATGATTGAAACCACAACTTTTTCTGGAAGTCTTTGGTAAAAGGTAGTTGCACGGTGGTAGAACTTAGAGTTAGTTTGGAAGAGAAAAAGACGGATTGAAAAGTATTTATTGTTCACAAGAAATATTCGCGTGACTCGGCGTGGACAAAGATCCCTTCCCAATCTTCCCTGAGTCCTCCCTGAGTGTTGTAATGACAGAGCTCGTCCCAGACTTTCAGGCCACAGTTTAATTTCTCCTTGGCTTGAAGTTGAAAGATGTTTTGTTGGGTTTGCTTGACTCAAGTGTACTATTATAACCCTCTGACTGTTCATAAGATCGCTTAATGTATAATAAGAGGGGTTAACTCGTCACTTTTCATTTCTTTAAAACAATTCAAGCTTGCAATGACCTTGAACGTTTTTGGAATTGAGGGAAAGAAATCGACAGTAGACACTACCAGAGACTTCGATTCTTGAACTCAGGTAAGCGTATCTTTTGTTTTTATACTTTTCTCTGGTCTTCAATGTAGCAGCAGTCACCCATTTATATACAACCTACACCATAACCCGCTAGTGTCAGGCGTCAGCAAATGTTTGTAGATCAATGATCAGTTTGGCATTGAGGGAACGTACTACATGGTAGAAATGTCAGACGCCTGAAAATATTAGGCCATTTACGAGTTCCAGAAACTCCTACTTTAAAAACGAGGCTAAGGACAAAACCTTTGTTGTGAAAATAAGTTTTATTTTTATGAGAATAAAGAATCCTTTTCATATCAATTACTTAGCCTCGCTTTGAGACAGAGAGTTAAGGAAACTCAGAAATGGCAGCACATCATCCATGGTCTCAAAAATCATTAGTTACTGATTAATCATTAGTTAGCTGAATGCAGGGGCAACCAACATGAATATGGTTCAAAACGACTTAAACATAGCATTGTTGAACGTCTTTTAGTATTTAAACGGTAGATATACGCTTATTTTTATTCTCTAAAAATTTTTCATCTGTTGGGATTTCCTAGCTGAAAGTCTAGTGATCTGAAAATTATAGGGATCAAAACTTACCTTTTCGAAAATTTCATCCAGAAAAAGGGCTCCCGAAAATTCTAGGTGACCTTTTTAAGGTAAAAATCCGTTAAAAATGGGCAATTACCGTATTTATTCGAATAAGCGCCCAACCTCGAATTAGCGCCCACCTCGAATAAGTGCCCATCCTAAAGGCAGAAAAAGTTGATAAGCGCCCAGCAGCCTCGAATAAGCGCCCACCCCCTCCTCCTCCCAATCAAACTCAAATAAGTGCTCACCCCCACCCCACCCACTTGAGTGAATAAATTCTAATAAGAGACTTCCCGGATGACGGAGTTTTCTTCAGAGTATTATACAGAAACCTTTCTTTGTTACTTCTTCGCGTTTTGTTATTAGCATTTATTGTTTTGTTGCAAAATAAACATACTTCACTTGCTGAAAAGAGTGAAAATTTAATAAGCGCCCAGCCTCGAATAAGTGCCCACCTCGAATGAGCGCCCACTCTCAAGGTCCAAAAATTTAATAAGCGCCCAGGGCGGTTAATCGAATAAATACGGTATATCATTTTTGGGGGGGTTGAAAATCCTAGGAGAGGCAGACAAGCAAGAAATTTAACAACAAATGTTCTGAAAATTCTAGATCTCAAATCGTGTTCCGAACAGATATTTTCCAAAAATTGTTGTTGGGTGCCCCTGTGAATGGAGTAACATGTCACTACTTATCCCTGAGCATACTGGATATTATATTGAGGGTGATAAATAACTCCTTAATTTTAGCATGAAATTTCAGCGTTAATTTAATATATAGATTTAGCCGGGGCTACAAGGGTAGCTCCAGTTAATAACTTTATAATTTAAATCAAACAATAAACTTGTAATCCACTAATCAGTTAACTTCA